GCCCATTGTTTTCTGCAAATAGTCTGCATCAAATTTGGAGAGCTTGGCTTGTAAGATCCGGCTTTCCCAAAAAGGAGCGGTTAGCTGACACATCTCGCGTGAGTCATGAGCCAGCGTCAGCGCTGAGCGCGTCAGCGAAATCGGAAGAGGTCACAGGCGGGAACACTCAAGTTGGTGTGGTAGCGCAACCCGGCATCCCGTTACAATTTCCGCTATGTTTGCACCCTTCTGGCTGATGGCATGCTCTCTAGTCCAATGTTACCTCAGTATATGATACAGCTAGTGCTATATGGAGGTCGACGATGGGGGAGGAAAAACAACGCGCCCGACGAAGTTCGGGTGAATTCTGGTCACGTTCGGTTCGCCACAGGCTTCCTTCAAGTTCCTTGCGTGATGAGCATGACGCTCGCTGGCTGATTTGCGTCATCGCTTTTCCATTCTGGGATGGCTCGAGCTTACAAGCCAAGGTCTCCAAATTTGAGGCAGACCATGCATCGGAACGACTGTCTTCCGTGCATGGTCTGCATCTGGAGACTATTCTGCAAACAAGACTGACCAAGCGCGCTGTGTCACAATGTGACGGACGCGTTAAATGAGACACGTGTAGTCTTGTTGAGTTGCTTAAAAGCTAGGTTGTTCGTGTTGTCGTTCCACCGTCCTACCCTCGTCTATCGTAGCTCGGCTAGAGACTTGTAGTGACCACTATGCCGCCCAAGAGGAAAGCCGGTGCGTTGAGGCTGTATGTCACGGTGCACGACGCGTCTGACTTTGGGTGCCAGCAGAGCAGTCTTCCGCGACAGCGAAGCCTGCCAAGAAGCCGAAGGTCGCGACCAAGGAAGTTGGTGAGTTTACCCACAGTATAGCGCCATCACCTCCGCGACGCTCATGCCACCCTGGATAGCTGCCAAGCCAACCAAGTCCTCGGCTAAAAAGCCTTCGGCCAAGTCCGTCGCCGCGCCTAAAGCCAACGCTGTACCGGCGGCCAAAGCCGTGCCAGCGACTATTCCTGCTGCAGCGCCCATTGCCAAAGCAGTCGCTCTCAAGGACGTCGCGGTTGCGTCTACCAAGGCGTCTGTCAAGCCAGTATACGCCGGCAAGTTCGACTGGTTCTCGACCCGCATCTCTGTTCTGCACAGCGAGTTCCTACCCGCTGGCGCGCGCAAACCCCGCTATCCCGAGCTATACGCCGCGATCCTCGAGTTTCAAGCCAAGCCGAAGTACACCGGTCGCCTCGCTCTTGCGGCATCCGGCGCGACTGGCGCGTACGACTGTCGTGAGATTGAGAACCCCATGAGTGGAGAACCTCCCGATGACCCCATCTACGTCTATAACGGGGAGCAGTCGGATGTCAGTCTCAGTGGAAAAGAGATGCCTGAGGGCCAAGAGGGCGCTGCTGGCAACTTCAAGCACGGCTTCCAATGCGATCTCGAGATGGACGTCGGCGCTTCGGGCGGGTGTAGCGTGGGTATGATCTCCAAGATCAAAGGAGATTTCAAGATGCACCGCGTTTGGTGTGAGGGTGACAAGGAGCTCTTCGAGGGATACATGAGGGTCACTGTTACGCATGGCGCGACGCTGCGTCGTAAAGGTCACCCTGCGAGTGCAAACTTGGCCTCACCGATATGGGCGGTTCGTGCGCGTCGCAATGAGAAGGGTGAGGAGATAGGTATAGATGAAGGTGATGGCTCGTTCGTGGGCAGCGGTGGCGGCGGGTCGAACAACTTCGATTTTGACTTCGACGATGACGAGGATGAGTTTGACGACGACTACGGCTACTATTAATACTACAGTTTACCTTGCTCTGCTTACTCTATACTTGATTCAGACGTACTTCAGAGGTCAGCATTACTGCTGCTGCTAATCATCATACAACATACTTATCGCTAGGTCGGAGAGACGTTGACCAATACATTGGGTGCCAATGTGCCACTCCTACAACAGTACCCTCTCGCATTAGCGCATCAACCCTCTAAGTACAGATCAATTGTATACGCAGATATCCAATCTCACCCAATGAGCCAGTGGAGGTTCACGAAACGCGCCATTCCAAGTGGTCTTGCGCTCGGACAACGCCGTGATGACGCGAGAAATGCGTTCCGTAACGGCGCCGGCGCGGAGTCACCGACGTCGACGTGCCCCTGTCGGGCCCCGCAACTGGTACGATACGCTCCCGTCTTGTCCAAGACTTCCACCTCTCATAAGTAAGCTCGCTCGCTGAGTCGGATGGGCTCTGGGGTGCTATAAGCGTACCGTCCTGTCGAGCCGTACCCGCTTCCCCATCACTCTAGACTGCATATCACTGCATCCGGTCTGATGTCGACCCATTCACTTCGCGAGCAAACGTCGAAGGAGATCGACGTCGCTCCGTCGACTTCTGGTACCCAGGGCCGCCCGCTGTCCAGAGCGAGCTCTGGTAGACGCAGTCGACTCAACCAAGAGCCGGTGAAAGCTCCTTGGGGTCTGCGATGGCGGGCTTCGGTCTGGTTCATCACGCTTGTTGTCGGCCTCGGTACAAGCTCATCATTCCACGTCTGTGGCTCGCGTTGAATGAGTATCACAGGCGTTTCGACCGATCTCGTCGTGTACTCCATCCTCATTCCCGTCTTCCCGTTCAAGCTTGAGGAAGAGGTGAGTGCGCGGCTTCGGGCGTTTCCAGACGTTAACAGCGATCTTCTCCAGGGCTATTCAGGTGTATCGGCCCTTGTTGGTTACCTCTTGTTCGCCTACGTGAGTATCGGTAGCTCGTTTGAAGACATCATTGGCTAACGTCTTATAGTCGGGAGGTCTTGTCATCTGTAAGGCATTCTCTCGTTCCTTTAGACTGTAAGCTAAGTTATGTAGCTACGCCACCTATCGCTTGGGCGTCAGAGCGATACAAGTCCAGGCAGATACCTCTCATTGCAGGACTGCTGGCATTGGCCGGAAGTCAGATCATGTTCGTAAACACCACCATCTCCATAACCCATGTAGTGAAGTTACGCTCCCTTGTAGGTTGATGGAGGCTCCGAGCTACTGGGTTATGGCACTAGCGCGTGCCTTGCAGGGTATCAGTTCGTCGGTCGTCTGGATCGTGGCTTTGGCTCTGCTGTGAGTTTCTAGCTTTCAATGGCCAGATCACGCTCTTACGTCCATTCAAGTTGTGATACTGCGCCTGAGAAATATGTTGGACGTATGTGTACAGACTCTCCAGACTCTATATACGCTGACTCGCTCCATCAGGCCAACTCGGAATGGCAATGACCGGCATGACCCTAGGGTGAGAGTGGGCGCAACGCGCGAAGACTGCTAACTCACCATGTACACGCAGGATGCTCATTGGACCACCCGTCGGCGGAGCGCTTTTCAACCGCTTTGGATTCAGAGGACCGTGCATCTTCGGTGTTATCATCACGATGATTGACCTGGTTGGCCGTCTGCTCATCATCGAACGGAAGGATGCCATCCGCTACGGCTTCGACCCTGCTCTTGTGTTAGAAGAGCAAGATGCTGAGAAATCCGAAAACGACGCACCTGCTATCGATGACGCCCAAGGTTCCGTCAACGATACTCGGGAGAGGGTGTCATCTTCGCCTTTGGCTGTCATCGTGAAGCTGGCAAAGTCACCTCGTGCGTTGACGGCGTTATTCTGTACCTTCATCTGGGGGTTCGTCTTATATCGTGCCGAGAACTGTGTCGCATGCTGATCTACCTCCTAAAGTGCGGTCTATGCGGGACAAGAGCCTGCGGTCACTCTTCACCTTCAGGACACCTGGGGCCTGAACTCCTCCGAGGTCGGGCTGGTCTTCATCGCTGCCGTCGTACCCTCGATCTTCTGTGAGCATTTCCCGATGATCGCAAGGTTGCTCTCGCTCATCTTGCGTACAGCGTCGCCCGTGGCCGGATGGTGGGGTGATCGTAGTGGAGCTGAATGGCCTATGCTATTCTGTCTCTTCGCGTCATTGCCTTGGTGGGGTCTGGCAATCATTCAGACCAGCTTGCCTTTCTTCATCGCGTGCTTTGCGCTGGAAAGTGAGTGCTGGGGGGAGCTCCTGTATGAACTCGTGAGCTGACGGGCTGTATAGACTTCTTCACGGCTGCTATCGTTGCTCCTCTGATGAGTGAACTCGCTGCAGTAGCGCGTGGGATACCGGGTCTGGGATGTAAGGAGGACCTCTCGTCTCGACTGTCTACTTGCTAACGCCGCGATCTATCTAGATGCCCATGTCTACGGAGCCTTCAACCTGATCTTCGGTGTAGGATCAGCCGTCGGCCCTCTCATCACTGGACAGGCAAGTTATTTCAGTTTACTGCTTGACGGCGTCAGGAGACTGACAGCATCGCCAGATGTACAAACACCTTAAACAAGGGTGGCTAGCGCTGAGCGCCTTCTCTGTGGCGATGCTTGCGATCTCCGTCGTGCTATCGTTCCTCTACATCGGCGAGCGTCCGATATACGATAGAATGATGGAGAAGATCAGGGGAGAAGGGACTATCACTCTAACGCCGGAGGTGGCACAGGGCGCGCAGGAGAACACCACCACGGGGGAACACGCCTAGGCTCAATGATGCTGCGACGCTGCTTGAGCCTACTGGGCATGGTGACTGGAATAGACCCCCTATCTACCCTTGCTAAACGATATGATACACATCCTACGATTCACCACTCACACGTCCATGTATAGAATGTACAATAAATGAAATCTCACACCTCGTGGTACAGTCGGCTATGCGGCCCGATAAGCAATGTTCGGCGGAGTTGATAGTGACGCTTACCTTGAAGTTCCCACTACCACCACACCGAGTAGATAACGTCGACATACTGTATCCTCTGACGTTCTCAGCCAACTTCCGAGGCCTCAATCGATCCTGTTTCTGTTTAAGTACAAACGAGCTCACCATGACCGACGCAAGCCCTCCGGCGCTTTCCCTTCCTGAAGACGTCTTTCTCTATCTGGCAGCGCTCTTTCGTCCCAATCCGTCAGAGTCACAAGCTGAACATGAGATGGACGACTATCGCCTGGAAGCGTGGGCCAGTTTGCCCGCGGTATGCAGGCAATGGCGCGAGATCTGCTTGGGGTCGCCGTCGTACTGGTCGTACTTTGTCCTGCCCAATAAGCATGTACACCCCAGACGCATGCTCGCGCGCGTTCGAGACGCTCTTCTCGACGTCCGCATTGAACTGTCGGAAGACGCCACGGACCAGGACGAAGCACAAGTCGCGGCAGACCTGTCTTTGCTCAATGATCGTACTCAAAACATCAGGTCCTTCTCCCTGCACAGCCGCATGGGGTTGTCCGTCTTAACGTTACTGGAATGCACCATGCAGATCCTCAGCCTGCCCCACACACGCTTGGAGCACCTGTACTTTCACGATGGCCATCCATTGGCAGAGGAGCGCGTCATAAGTGCTGCGCGGGCCGTCGTCCTGCAGTCTCCCTCTCTCCGAACCTTCATGTTGAAAGGCCATCAACGCCTAGACTGGTCTCCGACGACTTCCAACCTACGCCAGCTCACCCACCTTCACCTCGACTTCCTCGACTTCGCTCACATGCGAGGCGCTCTTACGTATCTGCCTCAGCTGCAAACAGCGTTCGTCAACCTCGGGGAAGGACAGCTCGCACAAGGGGTTGACTTCGTACCTTCCGCAAGGTCACTGTCGTGGCCAGCGCTCATGGAGCTGACATTCCAATGTCACCCCATCGACGCCCCTGCCTTTTGGAACGCTTTGGACGTGCCGCACTCTGTCCAAGTGACGTTCATCATCGTCACCCAAAGCCCGTTCGTCGCGGCAATGGAATCACGCAGACTGCTCAGCACCGCGCTCTCCATGTTCCTTCCCAGTCGCCACGGCGAGACACCTTCTCAGAAACTAAATGCTCTGGGCGTATCATATCGAAAGCTGGTAGACGAACGCTCGCTTTCAAGGGTCGCCCTTGAATGGTACCGTGAGGCGTCGGAGGACCTTGTATCGCGCAGCCATCAAGGCAACGGCGGAGCGCGACGGACGCTCGGGAAATATGCGACGTCGCTCTGGATCGAACCAGCAGCACTCAAGGTGGTCCTAGGCTATATTCCTTCGTCCTTCAACCACCTCGGATCATTACACCTCGATTCCCAGAATTTGTCCCGCAATATCATCGCCGCGATGAGCGCTTACTTTCCGCACATGTCCACGCTTCAAGAACTACATATATGTGGCAGCAGGGACGTCCATATCGTCGGCCGATCGCTCAGTGTCAATTTACCGGGGCTCCGCCGGCTCATTGTCGAAAGGTTCGAAGGATCAGAAGAATACATAGATGTCGTTGGTGCTCTATGTGTATACCTGGGACAAAGATCGGCTGCTGGTTTACCGACGTTGGAGTATCTGAGGCTTCGCGAAGATGGGATGACGGAGGGCACACTGATAGGATTTGAGGGTCTCGTACAAGAACTTTGCGCGTATCGTATGGAGGACGTGTAGGCTGTTGCTGTATTTCACTCATATAATCATACATTCATCACGCCTTGACCACGCCGTCCTCGTCCAAGTCCCACCCGAGCTGCTCATACGTCCATCCGAAAACTACGCCCTTGATCCCACCGGGAGTACTCAGAAGCGAGCGATGCAATCCAGGCTGCGTGTGCAGCTCGTCGATAGCCTTGAAGTCCGCCGCGTCAAGTTGGACGACCTGGTGTACAGCAACATGAGCATCTTGCACTTGGTTCGACGAGTATTGAAAGTATACTGACCGTGATGTTCTTGCGCAAGCGCTCTTCGTTCTCGCTCTTCGGGATGACGCTCGTCCCACGCTGTACGCCCCAGCTGAGCACAATCTGTGCAGACGTAGCGCTGTACTTCTCCGCGAGCTTGACGATCAGGTCGTTACCCAACAAAGACGGGCCCTTGTAGCTTTCGCTAGGTTGTCCTGCTCTTCATCAGCCAACCCCGCTCGCTCCTACTATCGAGAGAAAGAACACGTACCAATCGGAGAGTACGCAGTCAGATGGATCCCCTTCTCATCGCACAGCGCCTTCACCTCGTTCTGCGGCCAAAACGGATGCATCTGTATCTGGTTAACAGCCGGCACAACCTTCACGCCCTTCTCAAACAGCCCCCCAAGCGTCTTCACGCTGAAATTGCTGATCCCAATCGCCTTCGCCTTGCCCTGCGCATACACCTCCTCCATCTGCGCCCACGTCTCGTTGAACGTCGGCGACGCGCCGGGCGGGAGGTGCGG